GGGGTTCCTCTGACTACAACAAAGTAAATAGTCCTAATAAAGAATAAGGAAAACCATCCTATCAAATTCCTGAGGTTAAAAAAAGCCCTTCCAGCAAAAATTATTAGCATAAAATGTATCACTTACGGAAGTGGTTGCCCGAGGTCGTGGAGCGCTGCTCGGTCGAGAACTGAAGAATGATTCAAGATCATTTTCATTTTTGGGTTGGGCATCATATTTTTGTTGGTTTGCCCTTGCCGCAGCAGCAGCGGCTCTTTCTCTAGCTTCTTGAGCTGCCCTTTCCACTGCAGCACGTTCAGATCTAGCTCGGGCCTCCCTTTCCTTTTCAGCATTTGCCCTCTCTCGTGCTTCTGCTGCTGCTCTTTCTGCTCTTTCCTTAGCATCTGCTGCTGCCCTTTCACGAGCTTCGGCTTGTGCCCTCTGAACTGCAGCTCTTTCTGCTCTTTCTCGAGCTTCGGAAGAGGCTTTGCCTACAGCAGCCCTTTCAGCTCTAACACGAGCATCAATGGCTGCTCTTTCACGTGCCTCTCTAGTGGCCCTTTCTACTGCTTGTCTGTTTCTTTCCCTTTCGAGCCGTTCCCTTTCCCTTTCTCTTTCTTGCCTCTTCTGCTCTCTCTCCTTCTCTTCCCTCTCTAATTCACGAAGTCTCCTCTGTTCTCTATCCTCATCATCCTGCTCTCTCTGCTGCCTTTCACGGTCTAATCTCTCTTGCCTTTCTCTGAGTTCTCTTTGCTGTGCTTCTAGCATATCTTTGTCCTGCTGACTGGAATCCTTACTTCTAGCAGCCTTCAGATACTCCCTCTCTCTCATTTGTCTGAATTTCGCTTCTGCTTTATCCATAGCATCCTTCATAGCAGCTGCAGATGCAGCAGCAGAAGAAGAATTTGTGTCCACATCATCACCAGCAAAAGTGTCTGCATGATCATTTACATTATTGTTCTGGGCCCTGCCCATGGCAAATTCCTCAAGTTCATCAATTGGAGACGCGGAGCTTCTCGATGCTTGCGCCGTATTAGGACTTTGTGATCTAGAGAAAGAGTATTCATTAAACTTCTTTCTCGCATTCGATCTAGGTGGTCTTGGAGGTGGAGGCCTAGAAGGCGGAGGAGCACTAGTGGGATTAGTAAACAGAGGAATTTCTGAAACGGTGAGCCATATTTCATCAGCTGATTCTGTGACCTCCTCAGGTACTGGAGATGGAAAGGTCTCATTAGCTGAGACGCTGGCATATGAAGGTGGAGGAGCACTGGCTCTTTTGCTAGACTCTGTCGGACCAAAAGGAGTTTCCAAAAAATCATCAATGGGAGCCTTTTTCTGTGAGTATCTCCCAGTATTCTCCACAGGATATTTGTCAACTGGATCCTGAATAACAGGAGAAAAACTGCCACCCATACTGGCTTCCGATCTTAATGGACTCCTGTTCTTCCGTCTCTCATCAGCCTCGCTTGAAACTGATGGAACAGATTTTCCAAGATTTTCAAGAGAATCTAAGTCATCAAATGATCCCTTATTTACACGTGAACTATTTATTTTTGTGCTTCCTGAACTATTGAATCTACCGATTTCTTCCAATGGATCGGCAAACTCTCCAGAGGATGCTGCTGCAGGAGTTGACGTTGACTCTAACACTACAAATGGATCATCAATTGTAGCAGGAGCTGTCTTGGCTGAATTGGTAGATGGTCTGGTGGACCGAGTGGACTCGGAAGTTGACCTGTGACATGAATTCTCCTCGAAAATCATTAAGCGTGGAACAGAGGGTGATATGAAGGTATTCAAAATAGCTTCCTATACTAAGGTTCATCAGCCACATGACCGCACAATCTTCCGATAGACCGTGTTAAGCTAAAAGCAGCAATCATAAATTAAATGTTTACATCTTGAATCCTAAAAGAACAAGATGATCACATAAATATATCAAATAAGTTGGCAGCCAATGAAAAAGTATCTCATAGTTGAGAAAAGTAAGTTCCATAAACAAAATCTAGAGTGAAGAAAGCAAGTACCATGCACCCTCCAGTCTCTACTACTTTACTCTACAACCATGACAACATGACAGATGGTAAACAGAACTAAGACTATACTAGCAGAAGTACACAAAGACAAGTCCTTTCGTACAGCATATGGATTCTTCTCATTGACACAAAACATCTACATGCAACTAATCAAGTGTATCAGGAAATCTTAACAAAAAAAAAAAAAAAAAAAAAGCATACCAACTCGAACTTCACCATTTCACTCCCACTCAAATGTGCTAGCTTCAACATTCGATCAGCTTAACAAATGTAGAAGGTACCTGCTTATGCTGGGGGAGCTACTGCGACCAAAGCCAGGAAGCAGATCATTAAATACAGGAGAGTCTTTCTCCATCTTGGAAGGAGGCTCTCTCCTGGACTCCGCCCCTTTCTTCCCCAGATTCCCCAGCAGGTCATCAAGCCCCGAGCTGTTCACTGACTTATGCTTGGGAGAAGAACCAACACCAACAGAAGGAAACACGTCGTGCAAGTTAGCCGTGGAAGAAGCCGCCGACGTACTCTTCAGCCCAGGCAACCCACCGAAAATGTCGTCCTCGTCGTCGAACACAGGCTTATCGAAAACCGGAAGCGAAGACGACTTGGCATTCTGGTCCTTGTAGATTGCGTCGTAGTAAGAAGTAGCGGCAGACGGAGATGATGCGGCATTCCCGCTCCCGCCGCCACGCGATTCCCCATACTTCGGCGGCCCGCCGAATACGTCGTCGAACATTAGACCGTCCGCTCCACCGCCGACGCGATCGTGATCGTCGAAGATTGGGTTGCTGTTGCTGGAATTGCGCGCGGGTGGCGCCATGGGAGCGGATTTCCCCTGCGGCTTGAATCCGAAGTCCCGCGCTAAGAGGCCGGGAAAATCGTCCATGGATCCCCGCACCAGAAAAGAATTCGAGCAAGTTGTTCGGATCTACCAGGAGTCCGATTTAGGGGCGAAGATTGGATCAGTTCCAAGCTTAGATCTAAAATGGCGGTTGACAAAGAAGAAATCACGCAGATGCTGTAAGGATCAAGAAAGAAAATTTACAGAGAGGCAGACCAATTAACTATTCATTCATAATTAAAGTGGACGGACAGGAAAAGGGATTAGGTTTGGGGATTGATTATTCGAAGGGAGAGAAAGGATAAGAGGAAAAGAAGCTGAGAAAATTGCGACGGAGATCGTGGCGAGAGAGGGGATTCGCCGCCGGTGAACTTCGTCTTCTTTTCTACTTCCTGCGCTGCATTCTTCTTCGTCTTCGGCCTCTCTCTCTCTCTCTCTCTCTCTCTCTCTCGCTCTCTCTTTGTTTCTCTGGCTGTTCGAATCTGCAATTATTTTCTTCTGGTTCTTTGATTTCCTTTGTTGGTTTTTTCCCCGAAGGATTGTTGTTTTCCTCTTTCTGTTTTCTTTCTAATGTTTGGAATTTGGAAAATAACGCAGTACGCATAGTTTCATTCATTTACCACGGGAGTCCTCCATAGATTGTTAATGAGAAATTGGTCATTCCAACCTTTTTTTTTTATGTTTCAATTTGCAACGTGAAAGAGTAGAGGTTTACACGTCTATCTATTTAAGACTAGTTGTAAGTCCGGCCCATTGATCGGATTAGCTAGAACCTTGGTTGATAACACCATATTTGTTGTTATTGTAACACTATTAGCTAAGAGAGCGGATATGGTGACAATACCATATTTGTTGTTATTGTAACAACACTAGTCTCCAATCAATAGGAAGTTAGGGTTGTTATGACTTTTTATTAGCTGAGTTGACCTAGTGTAAAATTAAAGCAGGGGTATAATTGTCATAATGAAAATATGTTTAAATAATAATTTTTTTTAATTTTCTCCCAAATTTTTTGTCACCGAAATTCGGTCTCCGGTCACCGGAATATGCTTTTTGTCGCCGGAATATGCTTATAGGTGTCGGAATATGCTTACCGGCGTCAGAATAAGCTTACCGGCGTCGGAATATGCTCACTGGCGTCGAAATCTAGTCATCGGGGTCGGAATATGCCTATCGGCGCCGGAATCTGCTCATTGACGGTCGTCGGAGTTTGGTCAACGATCACCTAATATTATGGTCTGCATTGTGGGATTTATGGTTTGGTTTCTCATATTTTTTGTATGCTATTTGTGGTTTGCTTTATTGTGTTTCTCGTTTGCATTAAGAAGTTTCTGGCGTGCTTTCGAAAAAAATTGGTTTGCTTTGCGGGGTTTCTAGTTTGTTTTAATAGATTTTTGGTCTACATTAGGACGTTTCTGGTTTGTTTTTGTGGTTTGCATTATGAGGTTTCTAGTGTGTTTTTGAAAATTCTGTGGTTTGCTTTGTGAGGTTTCTAGTTTGTTTTAATAGATTTTAGGTCAGCATTAGGACGTTTCTGGTTTGGTTTTGTGGTTTGCTTTATCGTGTTTATGGGTTGCATTATAAGGTTTCTGGTGTGTGTTTTTGAAAATTCAGTGGTTTGCTTTGTGAGGTTTCTGGTTTGTTTTAATAGATTTTTGGTCAGCATTAGGACGTTTCTGGTTTGTTTTTGTGGGTTTCTTTATCGTGTTTGTGGTTTGCATAATGAGGTTTCTGATGTGTTTTTGAAAATTCTGTGGTTTGCTTTGAAAGGTTTCTGGTTTGTTTTAATAGATTTTTGGTCTGCATTAGGACGTTTCTGGTTTGTTTTTGTTGTTTGCTTTATCGTGTTTGTGGTTTGCATTATGAGGTTTCTGGTGTGTTTTTGAAAATTATGTGGTTTGCTTTGTGAGGTTTCTGGTTTGTTTTAATAGATTTTTGGTCTGCATTAGGACGTTTCTGGTTTGCATTATGAGGTTTCTGGTGCGCATATGAAATATTTTGTGGTTTGCTTTGTGGGATTTCTAGTCTATTTTAGGAGATTTGTGGTTTGCTTTCTAACTTTCCTCCCCTCTTTTTACGACTCCCTCCCTTTCCATCTCTTCCCTTCCACACTACCGTCTCCCCTCTTTCTCTAAACTCAAAACAACCTCGCCAAGCTCCAGAATTCTTCAACAACAATGTCTATGCCTCGTCATGCTTGCTCGCGGCACCACCAATTTGGACTTCTCTTTTTCCCACCGCCCCCGCTCCGCCTCCCCTGTTGCCCTGCCGGAGACCACTACTGCAGAGGAGAAGCTGCTGCTGAGCCACAAGTGTGTCGTCCGCGAGAAGGCCTTCTCATCCTACCAAGCTCTCGGCGTCCACAAGGCCAATCACCGGAAATCGCTCTCTGGTGCAAAGATCGAGGCCGCCGCCCAATCGACTTCTAGTACTACTTCTACTAGCACCGTTGTGGCTGTCGCAACATTAGGGAGCGATACTCCATCTAACTCTTATGGCCACCGCCTCGATCATTAATGAATGATCATGCAAAATGCTATTAATACAAAGATCTCCAGACAACCAAAATCTGCAGGAACAGGGGAAGGAGGGCGGGTCATTGTGCAACAGCACAACTTTAGTGGTTTTGGCTTGCGGGGAGTTCAGGTCAGAAAGCTCTATCGCTGGTGAGTTGGGAGCAATAAGATCAAATTAGACCACTCCAAATCACAATCAAACCAAATCACAATCTGTCGGTTCCCACTCTCCCCGCCTTCTCGTTCTTCCGCCACCGTCACTTCCTTCTGCCGCTATCGTCGCAAACTCCATCTATCTCTTCTCTTTGTGGTCGTTGCTGCTGTCGTTGGTTGTCACGAAGCTCTGGACGAAGAAAGAATGGCGGAATCATTTCGGTCGCTGCAAGGAGAATAACCATGTGTACTTGATATTTGTCGGTGTCGGAGTAGGGTTTCTCCGCCGGAGGAGAGTTGGAATTTGGGAATCTCATAGACTGTAGTCGGACTCAGAGGAGAACGCTAGCGATGGAGAAGGAGAACAGAGCGGAGGGGAATTGGAATTTGGGGATCTCATTAATTGTTATTTTTATTGTAAGTTTCCAGTTTTGTCTGTAATGAATCATGTTGTTACTGTAACAATAGATAGAGTGTTGTTATACTATCCAGACCCTTGGGTGCTGGTGATTTTTAGCTCTAAAATTGGTCCAAATATAGAAGGTGAACGTTCCCTGCTTGAGGGAGGGAGATGAATGAGAGTTATGAGAGCGAGTTGATGTTTAAGTATGGGATTTAAGAATATTTTCATGAGTTCGGATCCGTGAGAAGGGGATTAGCCGGTGCATGCGTAGAGGAGAGGTCGGCGAGTTGTGTAACAGTGATTTGAAGTAGTTTGACGGGCATAAGTAAGTAGTGCGCCTGATGTTTAATATCAAGAGAATACATGTTTACTTGAATAGAAAATTGTGATCTTTTCCAAGTATAATCATTCTAAGTATAAAAAAACCTCGAGGGGCAATTGAATTTTTCTAATCTTTTGTGGTTTAGTAGTCAAAACGGGATACTTAGACTTGTTAACTTTATGTCAGAGGACAATGATCGCCAGGCGCGGAGCTACATTAGTCCTCGTGGGCCCCCTCACTGTAACACCCCTTTCTGAACACTAGCTTTTACATAAAATACATAAAACTTGTAAAAGGATTTTCGGGCCCGATTTAAAACTTTACGATTCAAAGTACAAAAAGATAAACCATTTGATAGTGGATTTCATGTGGAAACTTGTTCAGTCTTCCGCCCACCTCATGAGTCAAAACTTGAAGCTTGAAGTTATTGTTTCTACTTCAAGCACTTCTTGCAGCTGCTCGGGATATGGGGAAAAATATTTGACGAAGAGTGAGTCGTCACTCAATGAGTAAATCCTAAACCTAAATGAACAATAATACACAAGCGGTATTTAGCATGACACCCTTTAATTACAAGTCATTTGCTGCTCACTCCTGATGCCTATCATTCCATTTATAACAATTCGGTATCCAATTATAATTCTAATAATCAACGGAAGAACTATCTCTTTAATTATTCAGTAGCAATCACTTCAATATCCATTCATCACGATGCTAAGGCACCTGATGTCACTATTCGGTATCTAAAATAGGATATCGCAACTAAGCACCTCTAATGATAGGCAATCACATGCTGGTGCTAGTGCACCATTTAGTCATTCACATATACTCATCAAAATTCACATCACCTGAACCATAACACAGTGCTAAACTTCATCAGCTCGCTCATTTTAAGTCATGCCAATAAACATTTCAACATATCATTCACATTCCGCGATCAACTATACACCACTACACATCGTATTAACCTTGCTAAGGCATTTCATACATGTATCCATGCATAATCTAGAAATCAATCACACATTCACACCAGTACACATATCGATACACTCAATAGGGTTAGCCAGATTAAGTGTCTTTTAGCCTTTAATTTGCCAAGTCACAATATAAGTTTACTGATATCCGTAATCATAACATCAATCAGAACACCAATTATACTTTTCCCCAAATACACGAGACACCTTCACACAACAAGCAACACACATACATAAATACATTATGCAACAGTCAAGTCCCCTCCGGCTAGTCATGCACAACCTAGCTTCTTTCCCCCACCGCCTCCTCCTCCTCCACCTCCTCCTTGATGCCTAGGCTCCTCCCCCGTCGCCGACCTAAGGCATCGGTGAGAATCTCCCATGGCCCGGGCAATCGGCCTTAAACCGATCATACTCAAGTCCTTACTTAGGAGTTATCACATCATCAATTTCTACTCCCTGTGCATGACTTTCCGTGGAGGATTAGATGCTCACAAATCATGAAAGAATACATCTTACTTCACAACACTTCATCATCGTCATCAATATTATAACCATCAATTCATCACCATCATTCCCATACTCATCAACATTCCATAATCATCAACATCTTCTCATATCATTGACATCATCCCCGTCATCTTATTCATTATCATCAAGACAATCACGATGAATATCATCAACCACCATTCACCGAATCATAGCATTCACATCATGACATTCACCCTTTTAGGCCATTTCATATCACATACACATTGCATTTCTCTTTCACATTCACCATTTATAACATTTCACGTCATTCAGACACAAAATCATATCCAATTATCATGCAATCATCACATAATCACACTCACATACTTATCATATCATAGCCATTCAGTTCATATCTCGTTGCATCCATATTCACTCAATATGTATCCATAATTCATACTTGGGCCGCTACATAACTCGAGTACCTCTATATCTATTATATGTATTAGGGCCACTTCATGACCCAAATACCGTATTTGTATTGATATAGATTTAGGGTTAGAATCTACTCACCGTTCCCGTCGTTACTCGACAATTTCCATGACCTTTGAAGACTCTTCGCTTGCTCCTTACCTCTAATATATCATAAACACGTATTAAGTAATCTAGATCAAGTATATGAGTCATATACTTCCATATAAAATTGCTAGCTAATGGAAATTTGATTCAAAATTTGCCTTTCTAAAGATTTTGGAAAAATTCGGCCTATTCCCCTGTCAAAACTTGTCCGATTTTCTGACCGAGTTTCATCCTCGGCGCTCGGCAGTGAAAACTCGGCCAGCTGGTTCCAAAACTCGGGTCACATTTCTTGGTCGTGTTTCCTTGCCCGAGTTTACCATTTTGGCCATATCTCCTTCAATTCTTAATAAAATTGGTTGATTCTTGTTTCTACTGAAATTAGATTCATAGGGATACAACATATCCAAATTTCAGACCATTTGGATCTTCCGTTCGAGCCCAGAATTCATTTTAAGTTGATGTTTCAAAACTGTCAGCTACTTTCTTTTCACTTCAAATCCAACTCCCCTGCTACTAACAATTGTTCCTGACCACTCCGAAATCAAAACTACGTTCCGAACGGTCAATTTGTAGAAATTAATATACTTAACATTAAACCAAATTTCTAGAACGATCCAACGACTGATTCACACAAGATCTTACCTCTAATCCGCTGTCCTGCTACAGGAAAACAGTGTCGCACCCCTTCTGTCCAGCGACATTCCTCGATGAACCAGAGATCATAACGATGATCCCAACGGTCCAATCTTAGAAAAGTAAGTATGTAACACAACCTATAAATCTCAGGACGATTCAACGGCTTGAGTGTCTAGAATCGTCCTTCCCATAGGTTGTCCTGCTGCTGGACGAAAATCGGCAGCACTCCTATCTTCTTCTTCTTCCTTACTTCCTCTTTTACTCTTCTCTTATGATTTCTAGATCTAATCCTTACCCTGGATCCCTCTTGTTTCTCAAGTTTCATGAGGAAGAAGGAGAGAAATGGGTGGAGTCGGTTTGGGGGGAAGGAGAAGAAGAACAAAGGTGATAATGAGGAAGAGAAGGGGAAGGGCAGATTTTTATCTGAATTGCTATTCGTCGCCCTAAAATTTAAATTTTGTCGCCCTAAAACCCAACAAATTGACATATTTACCCTCAACTCAATTTCTATCCACCCAAACAATCCCCTGTCTCTTCCCCACCCAAATCTGCCGCCAGCAACTACTCCCCCACCCTCATCGACCGCCCAAAACCCCTCCAACCCCAGACCCCAATCCCTCCCGCCGACCAAATTCCCTCAACAACCCAAATCCGACGCCCACCCCAATCACGACGTTGTCATCGACCACAGGGAGGAAGATGAAGGCAGACGAAGCGGATAGAAGGCAGACGAAGCGGACGAGAATACTACTTGTATCCTAAGTCCTACCGCCGTTGCTAATCGACCGGTGTCACTGCCAGAAAGAAGACGACGACCAATGCCACAAGGATGATTTTTTATTATTATTATGTTGCCGCGGCGGACGTACCTGTCGCCGGCGATTTTTCAACCCGGTCGCCGCTATTGAAGACAAGTCGAATTGATTTAAAAAAATGTTATTGGAATTATTAATTAACTATTACAAATATACCAATGTGATATAGAATTATTTGATATTCGTTATTTGATGTAAGTATATGAGTTTGTTTTGGATTTAAGTGTTTGAAAGAGAAATAAATGAATTAAGGGCATTAGAGTAATTTTAATTTAATTAGGGCGACAAATAAGAAATTTTAGGGCGACGAATAGCAATGCCCATTTTTATCTCCCTTCCTCTAGAACTTTCTTCTCCCCAAAATCCCCCTTCAATCCTCCAACCTTCCATTTCTTACACTTAGGTTCCCCAACTTTCCTTTCCTGATAGTTAAGTCCAAAAACTCAACTATTCACTTCCTTTTCGGTTCAAAAGAACAATTTTTGTAACCCGATCACAAACACGTCATTATGACGTAATAATTAGTATGAGGGTAGTGATGTTACACTCACCCCCTGCAGGAGGATCTTGAAAGTTACGTATAAATGAGTTGAGATAATATGTAATAGCCTAGAGATATTTGAGCTTTTATCAGATTTCGTTTGTTCGATCTCATTGAGGGTGGAAGAAATTTATGAAGCAACATCCACGACCACAAGCTGACGTCCAATTAGTGACGTATGTAAAGTAGAGAGAATTAGAGGGAGATAAAAATTTATAGAAAATAATATTGTATACATAATTAGAAATATGTTGTGGCCTCTACTAACTTCATAACATATACTCATTTGAAATTTTCTCATGACAATCAAAGTCAATGCCACATCTGGTTTGCTTTAGAGCATAACATCCATGATCAAACATTATTTCTTATGCCACATCTGGTTTAGTACATAACATGAAGTACATATTGTTTCTATTGCATATATAGGGTATCTAAGAAATTTATTTATTATATTCACCTTATTTGTAACTTGGGAGATCTTTGACATGCATCTTGCATGTTTATCCTCTTAGGCAAATTATTATCTATTTTAAAGTTAGAACTCAAACCAATAGGTACCTAGATGATAAATTTATTGTGATAGAAACACATCTTCTCTTCGAACGTGGGTTGACGGGAGATCGTTGAATGATGCAAACACATGATGTCTACTCATAAATAAAATAATAGGAATATGTGATGTATGGATGTAAGGAATGACTTATAAATCTAATACAAAAAATACAAAAAATGATCGCTTACAAGGGTTGAATACTCATTATGTATCCACGATAAAATGGTTCAATTTCACATTCTTTTGTTGATGTCGCCAACACTTATCATTTACACAACCATCTTTGAATTTATTATCCTTAAGCTACCCCAAATGTGTTGATTCGACATAAGTGATCATAGCTATACTATCAATCATCAAAAGAACTATAGAGGTTCGAGCATTCTTATTGCATCATGCAATTGAGTTCCTTCATAGATATTCTAATAACACCTAACAACAAACTTTCACTTAGCGGGTGAACACAGAGTAATTATTGAATTCTTGTTGGAATACAAGAAGTTTTACAATTTATAATTGGTTGAATGACAGTGAACGATGACAACGACTTGAGAAAACTTTAAGTATGAGCATATGCAGAAACACATCGACTTAGGTTATGCATACGAGTCTCACGCCGACTATGAAGCGGAAGCAAAAAAATGGTGATTAACAAAGTTTTATGGATTTGCGAATGATTTTGGCTTAATCGAAGTCAAAATACATATTCTTGTGAGCTGTGTTTTTAGAGAAACGAGTTTGGAAAGAGAAATAAAATTTTACGAATGGCAGTGAATTGAGTGAAGTCAATATAAGAAACATGTAAGAAAATTTCTTGTCAAATGGTTTGGGAAACAAAAAGCAAAAGTTGTGAATTTTGGCGATAACGAATTAAGTATATAGTCTCAAATGTATGCCTAACCACTTTTTCATCAAATCGTAACGGACTATATCTCATTCGTTGTAACTTGAATTGCAAATTAATTATATTTACAAAAGGACATTCACTTTCATATATTTTAGAACAAAACAGACTAATCATGGTGTTATGTAGTATATAAGTATAAAATATATCATTGAGGTTCTAAATATACCAATTTGGTATATCATATCACAAAATTTCAGAACTGAAACATATGAGATTCATAAAATGTAATTTCAATCTCAACAGTTAGAGCAATCCAATAGTTTGATATTTGGTTATAAAATATGCATAATTTTGGGTTAAGCATGTGAAACTGGTTTAAGGTTGTCCATCTACACACACCTAGAAAAAGGAAAGAAATTATGGCAAAAGATAAAAAGAAAAAATGAAAGGAATTGGAAGTGCATAGTGAAAAAGCAAAATATTTTTTTTAACAAGTGTTCATAGAGGTTTCTCAAATTGGTATGCATATAAAAATTAAATTTATTATTCTCTACAAAATGATCTCCACTTTATATATTTTGGAACGATAAACATATTTGTAGAGTCGTATGAATAATATATCATGCTGGTACAAAAAATATACCAAGGTGCAAGATATCCATGATCGCAAAAAACATTTAGCCAAAATGTTTCAAGACATACCT